TAAGTGTGTTACATTTCACTACAAACTCCAAACCATCCTAAAAATAATTGGTTCTCCTACTGTTGTTAATATGGCTTGATGGCTTGTGCTTTTGACTAAATCGGAAGCAGTGCTTAGATAACTAGATTTTACAATATTCATAGCGGCACTGTTGGTTGCTTTATTTCATGGGAAAAAGATGTAACTAACCTAACCAACAGCGTCATCTCTGAGAAATTTTTTTGGGAAAGACTACTTGTGCGAGTGTTACTGTGCCTTTGGTAAACATTTAAAGGTCGATCTTTCGACCACAGCACTTAATAGTACCTATGAGCTAGTAATTGACATGAAAATTTACGGAAGTGCAAACTTAGTGTTTGTAAATGAACTGTACCCAAAATCCGCCCACGAACTGTACACAGAACAAAATCCGGTAACGTGGTAGCAATGTGGTCGATTATCCAACCACAATCCGTCTTATATACTTAAGTTACCGTTGAACGTGACCACATACATCAAACTCATGGTAACAGATCAAAGTACTATAATCTTTTTTATCTATTCAGATTCTATTGGCGCTAAGATAATATATCTTGATTTAGTGAAAGTAGGACCTGTTGATTTTACAATTGTTCTATTGAAATTCATTGTTACTCTTTTTTATTTTACATCTATACAATTATATTCTTTTTTTACATCGATTTGACTTACTTGATTAATTTTTATAAGAAATAAATTGCTGTGCGGTGGTTCAAGTTTTTACGCGGGGGTGTACGAAACAATTATATGTATTGCAATAAAATTGAACACCGCAATATACTGGAAAATTTACAAAATATGACTCAGGGTTATTAATTTGATTACATAGATGATATTCCAAATTAACAAGCCATACATTCAGATGGTGATTCTGATGTAGAAGACGATTTTCTTATTTCCAACCGAACGTCGGTTGCAACCAACACGACTATTACTTCATTATTCAATGATCACAGGGTTGAATTTCTTGATATTGATCCAGATCACTCGACGGATGATAGAGTTTTCCATTCTCAAGTAAGAACAAATCGAATTTAATAGAAGAGAAAATAGTAAAGTACGATAAAAGCTATAAATGGAGAAGAAGGCTTCTGATGCCCAAAAATATTCGAATGCACCGTTTAGCAGACCATTTGGCCCATCAAAACCGGTCAATATAAATTCACCATTCGACGGTTTTTTCTTTGTTCATGAGCAAAGATATAGCCAATATAATTACAATCAAACATTTATGCTAAAAAAAAATACAATAGGTATTCTCGACTTAACTGAGAAAGAACTCAAAATAGTTCTAGAGGTTCTAGAACTATTCATTTGCCCATTTAATCTTATTTGTAGCAGCCCTGAATAGTTCTATGGAGGTCATGTTCGTCCATTGCCGTAGGTTTTTAAGCCAAGAGTTGCGTCTTCTTCCTGGTCCCCTTTTGCTATTGACTTTGCCTTCGATTATAAGTTGGAGCAGTTCATACTTTTGATTTCTTATGATGTGACCAAAATATTGTGTTTTCCGTTCTTTTATTATAAGCATAAGCTCTTTTTCCTTAGTCATCCTCCGCAAGACTTCCGCATTTGTCGTATGGCTCATGTAGGATATTCTGAGCATTTTACGGTAACACCAGAGTTCGAATGCTTGGATTCTTTTTTGTGCTGCTTCTGTCATTGTCCAGGCAACACCATAGAGCAAGGTGGAGAAAACCTAGCACCTAAGTATTCTAGTTCTCAATGAGATCCCAGCTGGCGGTTGCATAGAACTTTTTGCATTTTGTAAAACATTGTACGTGCCTTTTCCAGGCGTATTCTTATCTCTAGTGAGTGGTCCCAAGTTTTATCAAGATTACTTCCAAGGTATGTTGTTCTTGTAACTCTTTCCAGATCTGTTCCGTCGACATTGACCTTCACCCTTCTGTTTTGGTGCTTGCTGATGACCATCGTTTTTGTCTTTTTTGTATTCAATTTCATTCCAAATTCTCTACAGGCTGTCGTTACTCGGTCCATTAAGCGTTGCAGGGCTTCAGCATTATCTGCCAGTATGACAGTGTCATCAACATATCGCAGGTTATTTATACATTGCCCGTTTATAATTATACCATCCGAGGTGCCTTCCAAAGCTTTCTGAAATATCTTCTCAGAGTAAACATTAAACAGCAAAGGTGATAGGACACATCCCTGTCTTACTCCCTTCTCGATATTGATTTTTCCAGATGTTTCGCTTTTTATTCTGATTTTAGCCTTTTGTTCTTGGTAGAGGTTTGAAATGATCCTTAAGTCTTTATCGTCGATATTACATGACCTTAGATTATCTATTAGTTTACCATGTTTCACCAGGTCAAACGCCTTCTGAAAGTCTATAAAACACAAGTATACATCAGAATCGACATCTCTACATCTTTCAACTAGCACACGTATTGAAAAAAGTGCTTCTCTTGTTCCGAACCCATTCTTAAAACCAAACTGAGTTTGACCGGAGATATTATTGGTCAACAGATATCAACATGCACGTGTCAAGAGTTTCGCGAATCTTTACGCAAAAACGATTCTTAAGAATTCTTCGTTTTCTTCATCTAAACAATAATGAAAATATGCAAAGAGCACAAAATAGCCTCAATTTTGACGAACTGTTCAAAGCAAGACCTTTGATAATACAACTGCAGCAACACTTTCAAGAGAACTTTTATACAAGCAGAAATGTTCCGGTAGATTAAATTGTGGTTGCTTTCAAAGGACGAGGTTCCCTCAAACAATATATGCAGAATAAGCCTATAAAAAGCATGCTCTGAAACTGGATATGTGCACAAATTTAGCATATATAAAGGCAAATCTCAATCACAACATGCTATTAGAATTGGAAACTTCTGCATTTATTTCGATAATTTTTTCTTGAGTTTTCCTCTTCTGAAGAAAATGTTAATCTATGATTTGTTATGCTGTGAAACCTGAAAAATGAGAAAGGACAAAACAATGAGAATGGGAGAACACGATCCATGTCCAATGATATGTCTGTTGTTAAATGGAAAGATCAATTCGATCAATTTTATGCAATTGCTTTACAATTTCATGGAAATCCCGAAGATGGTATTTGAAGATTATATACTATTTAATTGATGCAGCAGTAGTAAATTGGTATGTAAGACTACAATGAAAAATGAGATCCATTAAATCGAAACCTCCTGTCACCTGTATTTTAGAAGTGTATTGGCCAACGAGCTCATAGGCTCATAATGCTGTAAGCGTTGAAAACAAGGTAAGACTAAACGATGTTGGTAATCACATGCCAGAAAAAGGAACATAAAGATGTTGTGCTCTCTGTTCAACGAGAGCGAAGCCAAAACGATCAAGTATTAAATGCTCAGATTGCTAGGTTGCATTATGTATTCAATGTTTTCCATTATTTCCTAATAAAAATAAATTAATTTGTTTTCTCTGTGGTCGATTGTGGAACCGCAACTATATGTACCAAAGTTAAAATACCTAATCAGGCTGTGGTCGAAATTTCAACCACCCAAAAAAACCAACAAGGAGTGAAAATAAAATGGAAAGATAAATGAAGGTACAATAATGTATCACTTGTTAATTATAATCTGAACAGAATGTGTTTATATTATCATAAAATAATTCTGCCCTATAAAGGGGTCAAGAATACCTGTTAGATCAAGAAATTATTAAAAAAAAACTATACAACAAATTAAAAATAATAAAATATTTTATTTCCATAATATTATATTGTATATTGTTTTATTAATAATCTTACTACAATGACACATGACACATCGCTGACTTAAGATTTTACTGCTGCTATACATCATACTATTATTGGGATTCCCTATATATCGTGACATAACCTAGACTTTACATTTTTATATTATATACATTTTTCGAGTTTTTCATGCTAGATATACATAGCTATGAACAGATAGTTTAAACATTTTTTTACGTTTCTACAATTAAAATATTTACAGTCATTATTGCCGTCTCATTTTTTAAAAGTCCTTTTCAATATCCTTTCCTATATCAAAAGAGAGTATCACACTTTTATATTTTGCATAAATGTAGACTTATGCCATTATAGAGACATTTTAGCAAAAATAATGTTTTTTATTGAAGATCCTGATGAATTAGAATTAGAAGATACATTTAGACTTCTCCAATTTTGCTAGTGAGTGGTTTCCGAAATCACCAATAATTAAATTATTTTAATTTATAGGTAAATATTTATATCACCGAATATAAAAATTTACTTATTTGATATTTTGCTGTTTTTACATGTAGGTATTCCATTACATATAGATTTAGCTGAATAAGTATTCTTCATTTTTTTCGTTTTAATATTACCAGTAGATAACAACCCAATGTAAGTTTCGTGTTCAAAATGGCTACAAAGAGCATTTATGAAATAGTTAAACTACATGAAATCGCGGTAGTCTGGCCTGACAAAATCCGAAATTTGTAATCGCCTATGTAGGCCACTGATATCTGCTCTGGCGGTTAACGTGTTAATATTTCATTTAATTACAAAACCCAAGAGGTTAGGTAAAAAATTATTTTTTCTAAAAAAATTAGGTTACTACGAAATTATATTACTTTTTTAGGTTAGGTTATTAACGTTTTTTAAGTTATTTGGAAATCCGCTCGGATAAAAAAATTGGAGGTTATGTCTAAATTCATTGGCTAATTGAGAGCATTCATTTGACACATCTTGATCTTGTATGACGATTATATTTGTTTTACCTATAGGCATAGTTTAATTTATGTTCTTAAACACTCATTGTGTTTAAAATAAACTAGCTAAATCAATGACATAGTCGTTTTCTAAGTATAAATATCTCTAAATGGAACAAGTCTACCAAAATTTAATGAGCTTTTTTCATATTCGAAATTTGTAATACATATAAATGTAACGAGCTGTTACAGGTTAAAATTTTTAAAAACAATATAAAAGTTTGAGCTTCAACCAATCGTAATTTAAATAAAACTATGGCTTCGTTCTAACACCCTTTCACCCACGCTGCTGGCACCCATTGAGGTTCTCTTTCTAGACTATTGATTTCGTTAAGTAATTGGTGATACGCCCTTTCTGTATCGTTATTTATAATAATAAGATCGAAAAAGTGTCCGTATTTGTCTTCCATCATCCTAGCTTTTTCTATTGTGTCTTTTAATTCTTCTTCCTGCAATTTCAGAAATACATCATTAATAAAAGTAAGATTGCTTTTATATTTTTTAGTAGGACAGGTTTATATAGAATGCAGTATTCCACTACATTGTATAAATACACTACTTATTACTATACTTGATTTGGAAAAACAGTATTTAGATATACAAGACTGTTCAAAGCAGAAAAAATATAAATATTGACACCTTCCTGTCTCATTTTTGACAAGAATTTATAAACACAATATATTTGCTGGAGAGTATCAGTCCAAACGGTCAATCATGTCCTCGTCACTAAAATATAGTTCAAACTTAAAGCATACCAAAAACACGGAGAGACAAAGAAGATAGAAATAATAAAAAAATTCTCAGAGAAATAGAAAATGGTATATTCCAAGAATTCTGGAAAGCTGTCAAACATTGTATAACAAAAACATCAATAAACTCTTTAAAGAGAAATGTTTGGTTGGATTATTTCTGGTCCACTTCCTGCGCATTCTGGCCATCCTGTTCAATCTTTCTTGCAATTCCGAGTGTCAAGCCCTTTCTAAATTCTGGGAAATTGAAAAGTGCTCCAATTCAGAATTTTCTTTTAAGGAAGAACAAAAATGTGAGGACCATTTTATCTCAACTTTCTAGCGAAACAATGAAGGTAGGTTTGTTGTTTCTACTTCTTTTAAGGAGTCATCTGCAGGTCTAGGGGAGTCTAGGCATACTGCTAGAGCTATACTACCTATAGGATTGAACGAAGACGTTCATCTAATCCTCTTCTGTAGGAAAGATTTTTTCAATTTATGTACGAGAACATCGATAGGGTCATATGTCTAAGTCAACTTCTAATATAATTAAAGAAACCACCTCCTCATCCAGTTTTGAAGGAACCACTACTAAGGAAGGTTCTACTACCAAACTTCGAGTAGTATTCAATGATTCTTCTTGTTCTACGTTAGGTAACTCAGTCAATGATCATCAAGTGGTGGTCCTATTGTACAGAATGATCTTCTTTCTATTCCTTTACGCTTTCTTCATCATACATACGTTGTTTCTAGTGACAAAGCCATGGCAATTTGATCCAGAAGAACTAAACTCATATCAACTGAACACTATAAGGTATGGTACTACATCTGCATTCTTCCTCGCTACAAAGTGTCAGCTTCAATTTTTTACAGAACATTCGGAAAAATATCCTTCCAAAATAGTCTCATCTGATTTCTATGTTGATGATCTGCTGACTTGTTCTGATTCAACTTTTAAACTTTTTCGTTTAATTATTGAAATTAATAAAATACTGTAAAATGTTTTTTTGTGTTGTTGAAATGGGTTTCAAATTGTTCTACCATTATTCAGCATCTACATTCTTCTTTCATAGATTCTATTTTTTTGCGTATATGTGACCACACTAAAGTTTTGGGTATTTTATGGATTTGGCTTGGATACTTCTTCTTCTTTAAGTTCCATCTTCTATCGAAGGTTGGAAATCATCATGGCTATGCGGACTCTGTTGACTGCCGCTCTAAAAAGTTCTGCACTACTGCATTCAAACCATTCCCTCAAGTTCTTAAGCCAGGATATTCTTCGTCTTCCCACATTTCGCTTTCCTCGTATTTTGCCCTGCATAATAAGTTGTAATAATGCGTATTTTTGCCCTCTCATAACATGTCCCAAGTACTCAAGTTCGTCTTTTAATAGTTAATATTATTTCCGCCTCATTTCCTATCCTTCTAGTTACTTCCATGTTTGACATTCTTTGAGTCCATGATATTCGTAGGATTCTTCTGTAACACCAAAATTCAAAGGCGGCCAACTTATTCAGATGAACTTGTTTTAGTGTCCAAGCTTCCAGACCATAAAGAAGAGTAGAGAACACGTAACATCGAAGCATTCTCAGGCGTAGTTCTAACCTTATATCCCGACAACAAAGAAACTTTTTAAGTTTAATAAATGATGTACGTGCTATAATAATTTCTTTGGTTTGGTCTACATCTGATGTTATCCATGTTCCTAAGTATTTATAGTTATTAACACTCTCAGTTGCAGTATCTTCAATAGTCAATTGGATATTTGCATGTGCAGATTTAGTCATGATCATGCATTTAGTTTTCTTTAAATTTATTTTCAGTCCGTACTCATGACAGCGTTAATTAAGGCGTTGCATTACGTTCTGTAAATCATTGTTGTTATCCGTAATTATTACTGTATCGTCTGCAAAACGTAAGTTATTCAAAACTTCTCCATTGATAGATATACCTTCTATTGAGTCTGAGAGCGCTTCTTGAAATACCGCTTCACTGTAGACATTGAAAAGTAGTGGGGACAGCACGCAACCCTGGCGGACTCCTCTCTGTATTTTGATATTTTCGGTGTACTGGCTGTCAACTCTTACCTTGGCAGTTTGATTCCAATATAAATTAGATATAATATTCAGATCACGACTGTCAATATTTTTGCTTTTTAATATATCTACAAGCTTTTTATGTTGAACTTTATCAAATGCCTTTTCAAAGTCTACAAAACATAAGTACATATCCTGATTCATGTCCATGCATCTCTGAGCCAGCACATTCAAGCCGAACAAAGCATCTCTTGTACTCATACCATTTCTAAAGCCAAATTGTGTGTCACTAATCTCATATTCAAGAGTTTTAACAATTCTGCTGTGAATTATTTTCAAAAATGTTTTAAGTGTATGACTCATTAAAGCTATTGTTCTGTGGTCTGAGCAAGTTGTTGAATTTGGTTTTTTGGGAATTGCTACAAAGGTTGATTGCAGCCATTGTCTGGGGATTGTGGCAGTCTGATATATTAGATTAAAGAGTTCAACCATTACTTCAATAACATCTTCATCGATGAGTTTTAATAATTCGATGGGCACCTCATCTGGTCCAGTGGCTTTACCCTCTTTTGTGTTTTTGATGGCATAGATGACTTCTTCTCTTAATATTGGTGGTCCAGTATCTTCGATGGCTTTGATACAGATGTGCTTAAATATGATATTAAGAATTTTACTTCAAATTACTTTGTTCATTTCTTAGAGAAGGCATTATTCGAGTTGAACGAAGGTTTACAAATTATTTGTTCGACAAAAAAAAGACATCCAGTTCATCTGCCAAAAAAATGTTACAAAACTGCTGGTTCGGGATATGAATGTAAATTCCACGCACTATCATTAGAGTAAAATACTGACCGATTCGTGGTAGAAATACTGCTAAGGCTATAGCTATATACGGCTATATACTGCTAAGGCGCAGTTACATAATATGCTTTAAAGTAAATCCTTCATCCCATGATCCTATGATGGCTGCTCTTCCAGCGTATAGCCTTCAACATTCATTTCCCTTCTGGTTCACTGGCGTTGACTATGCCAGGCTTTTCCTTCTTAAGGATAGGCGTTAAAGAGGTTGTAAACTCTATAAAGGTTAAGTTTGCCTATTTGTCTGTTTAAATACAAAATCTGTACATATAGAATTTCACGCCGAGGTGTGTCTACTCAAATTCATTCGAATAATGAGTCCAATTTTATTGGTGCTTACAACAAACAGTCCGCTTTATTTATAATAGAAAATGAAAGTAATATTGAAGATAAACCTTTGTAATTAATTCTCCCCCTTTTGGCGGAATTTGGGAAGCTGGAATCAAATCTGTCAAGTTTCAAATATCTCTCGATCTCTCTGAATGTCTGTTAGTGTACGAGGATTTTTATACTATCATGGTATAAATAGAAGGAGTTTGGAGTATATCTCAGAATTGCAGCGCCAAAGGAGGAAATAGAATTCTACGAACATCAAATTAAACACATTGGTTCTATTTAAGAATAAGATTAATCCTCCCAGAAGATGATGTTTTCGCTATGTTCATCAGCTTCATCCTGGCAACAATGGTGTGATACGAGTAGTTTCTATACCAACTACGCATGGTGTAACTCGTAGGGAAGTTGGCAATATCTGTTCTCTTCCTATAGAGAATGGAAGTGCAAATGAAAGTTCAAATAAAAGTGATTGACTCATAGTTTACATATTTATTTATTGTATAGATTTTTTTGTATTTGTTGAAAGTTAGATCTTTCAAGACAAGGGGCATTCAAATTTCATTTCATCATCATCACCAGCCTTCTGCGTCGAAAGTTGAACATAGGCCTCCCCTAATTTCTTCTGTCGGTCTTGAACTTCCTGCAGCCCTTTGAATCTTGTCAAGCAGAGTTGTAAAGTAAATATTCGACAATCAGTCGTAATATTACATTTTTCACTTCAAGAGAGTCTGTCTGAATCTGCCGGAAGACTAGCAGAGTAATTTTTCGACGAAATCAAACTCTCGTTATTCTACACTTCAAGAAAAGTTCTTCATCAGTATAGGATACAGTACATTTGACTCCAGGGGTCAAGAGTGGAGAGTGAGCTAAAATATTCTTACTTCCCATCTAAAAAAAGAATTTAAAAATGTTCAAACCTGGAGGAGTTTGTCTCATTGCCAACTTTTGGATTAAGGGATGATATAAAAATCTTAAAATAAAATATTTCGGGCCATAATTCTCGGAGAAAGATGCTGTTATGTACATTTTATTGAATAATTTCACCACAATAATTAGATTTAAGCCATTAATTAGCTTTATTTCGCTCGTTGTTTGGTCAGGACCAGCAGGTTATTTCCTAATAACCTCTGCCTTATTAGTTTCAGCTTCCACGTCTTCGTTAAATTGTTTATGAGGAATTTACTTCTCTCTATTATTGAAATAATTCCTTTATGTATTCCTTCCACTCACTAGAATATTAAACACGGTTAAAATATCATGAATTTAGATATATGTTAACCATATGCAGTGATAACTTCAAAAAACTCTTGTCAGTAAGAAGAGTGGTATATATTCTATTCTATTTCTCCAAAATCTGGAGTAAGATACATATTAATTTCCACAAGGAAACTAAATTCCTGAAGTTGGTATCATGATACCATGTATCACAAAAATTTTTATTTAAAAAATATCTTTATAAAAGGTATATTAATATAAAAAGCCTATCGGAATAACTATTTCATCATCAGTGCTATCCTAAAATAAGTATAACCACTTTAATTAAAGCAAACGAGAAAGTTTAAATTTTCACCAAGGTAAGGTACAAATTAACTGTTTGAAATAAAAAGAAATAATCTAAAACTAAACATATGATGGAAATTGTACAAACCATAACTTACTTTATACGACTCTCCGTTCCTAATTTTTTTCTGTCTTAATTTTTCTAAACTAGGAGGCGCTACGAACACTACGTATGGCTTTAAATCGGAAGTTCTGAGGATCTTCAGGCTTTGTGGATGTAGATTTAAAACGCAAATCTTTCCGGAATTGACCACAGACCTGATAGCGTCCAAGGAGGTTCCATAGTACGACTTTTCATATTCTCCGTGTTCTACGAATTTCCTTGATAGGATGTCAGCTTCGAACTGCGCCCTCGTAATGAAATGGTAGTCCTGGCCATCCACTTCATTTTCTTTCCGAGCTCGGGAAGTATCTAAATTCAAAATATTAATATATTTCATAAAATGGATTATACAGTATCGAAAAAGGAAAAAAAATTGGTAAAATCCATTCTAAAAATAGCTATAGCTTGTCTCAAAATATATCGTCCTAGTTTAGTGTTATTATTATCATTGTCATGAATGCAATAACCAAAGTTATTGGTTCTTAGTGAAAAAGACCCCCCGGAAGACCACCTAAAAGATGGAGGGATAGTTGGCAATCTACCTCCCAAGAAATTAACCAGAGGCAGCTTCAGAATTAAACAGATCGAAAGATCTACAAAAAGTAGTAGAAGAAGAAGAAGTGAAAAACCATCAAAAGTGTAGGTAAAAATAGGTAAACCAGGTAAATATTGCGATTTTATTTCAAGACCTCCATTTTACTGTAAAAAATATGTTTTATTGCTTAAATTGATCGCTATAGAAATCATATAATAATACAAATATTAATAATAAAAATTTCGGAGGAACCTGTAACCTGTAACCTCTAGAAAGCGCGTCCCCAGGTGGCGGATAGGGGAATGCCCGACCCGGTTTACCGGTGGGTAGGAGGGAAATAAAATACCTCCCGTGGACCAACAGGTAATTTACCGAATGATTGCCGGTATAAGCAATCCCCCACTTATGACCAACGGCTGCGGGCGGATGAGTTAATAAGTGGAAGGGCACTCTTTTGTCCAAGGGTTGGGAAACTGGTCCTAAAGGCGGATGAATCGGAAAATATGTCAACGGCGTAAGGATGCAGAAGGCAACGGGGAACCACTGCATTAAAGACTCTTAGAGTACCCCTAGTAAAGTCATGAATGGCAAATGACAAGTAGAGTAAACAAACTTACTGATTATGGAGCACGGAATCCAAGATCCGGCAGGGGAGGAATAACTGTAGATCACAGGGCCTCCCAGGTCGTAAACCAGAGAAATCCCTGTGGACTTAAGACATTGAAAATAGCAACCTGGAATGTCAGAAGTTTATATGCAAGTGGTAAATTAGCGAACGTACTGCTTGAAATGGAAAACCTTCAAATTGATGTTTTAGGTATAAGTGACGTACAGTGGCCAGGTTCAGGCAAACAAATTACAAATAATGGAACCATGTATTATTCAGGTAACAACGAGGTCAATCATCGTTACGGTGTTGCTATCTTAGTTGCAAAAAAGGTCAATTACTCTGTGATAAGTTTTACTCCTTATTCTGATAGGATCTTATCAATACAACTACAGTCTAAAAAAGGTATAGTAAATTTTATTCAAGTTTATGCTCCTACGGCAGATAAAGATGACGACGATATCGAACTGTTTTACCATGATTTGGAACAAGTCTTAAAATCAATGAAAAAACATCACACTACAATAGTAATGGGCGACTTCAATGCCAAAGTTGGCCAGGGAAGAGTGGATGGATATGTGGGGGAATATGGTCTAGGAAATAGAAATGAACGTGGTGACCGTTTGATACAATTTTGCCAGACGGAAGAATTTGTAATAGCTAATACACTTTTTAAGCTACCAAAAAGAAGGTTGTATACATGGAAATCTCCCGGTGATGCAACGAATAGAATAATCCGAAATCAAATTGACTTTGTCCTTATTAGACAAAGATTTCGTAATTCGATACTGTCTGCCAAAACTTACCCTGGAGCAGACATCGGTTCAGACCATAACCCCATAGTAGTCACATTACGAACCAAATTAAAACTGGTTAAAAAACCCACACAAAGTAGAATTGATATTAAGAGATTAAGGGAACCACAAACAAAGGAACAAACTGTAAAAACTCTTACTGAAAATATACGTAATGCCCAAGAACTGAATAAAAGTAGCTATAACATTGATCAGAAATGGGAAAATATAAAAGCAGCAATAATTAAAACAGCAAATGAAAACTTAAAACCAAAGAATAGAAAACATAAAGATTGGATGACTGAAGAAATACTACTATTAATGAATGAAAGAAAATCATTCAAAACAAAAAATCCAATTAAATATAATGAAACTGATCGATTAATAAAAAAGAAAATAAAAGAAGCTAAGGAGAGAATGTTACATGAGCAGTGCCAAGAACTAGAAGAAATTGAGAAAAAATATGACTTTTTTAACATGCATAAAAGAATTAGAGAATTAACAGGAATGAGAAAAACACTTCAAACTAGGCAACTAAGAGATGAAAGGGGTGCACTTATAACAGATATAAACCAAAAAATGCAGAGATGGACACAATATATAGCACAACTATTTGAAGACAAAGAGAGAACAGAAGCACCAAAAGAATTTAAGGATGATACTGGGCCTGACATTATACGAGAAGAAATTGAATATGCAATGAAACAAGCTAAAGATGGTAAATCTCCCGGGCCTGATGAAGTTCCTATCGAATTACTTAAAATTGTGAATACTGAATCTATTGATCTTCTTTTGGATCTATTCAATACCATATATAGAACAGGTATAATACCTAAAGAATGGCTCCAATCAACATTCATACTGCTTCCCAAAAAAGCCAATGCAAAGGAGTGCAATGAACATCGCACCATAGCCTTAATGAGTCATGTCTTGAAATTGTTTTTAAAAGTAATTCACAATAGAATACATAAGAAATTAGATGAAGGCATAAGTAATACACAAATGGGATTTAGGAAAGGACTGGGAACACGAGATGCACTGTTTGCAATAAGTGTTCTTTCGCAGAGATGCTTAGATATTAATCAGGAAGTATATGCCTGTTTCATTGATTTTGAGAAGGCATTTGACAGAGTGCAACATAATCGACTTAAAGAAATTTTATTAAATAAAAACATATTTATGACAGTAGAGACATTAGAATCATCTGTAACCTCTATTGGAATCAAACAGCAAAAGTGAAAGTTGAAAACGAACTGACCAAGGATATCCAGATTCGCCGTGGGGTCCGCCAAGGGTGTATTTTATCACCCTTGTTATTCAATTTATACAGTGAAGCCATCTCAGAATTAGCGCTTGCCGAGATCAGTGAGGGCCTTATAATAAACGGTGAGCCACTTAATAACATAAGATATGCTGACGACACCGTCCTTTTGGCAGGAACACTAGAAGAACTGCAACACCTTGCTGAACAACTAAATATATATTGCAACGATTATGGACTAAAAATCAATTTGAAGAAAACAAAATTCATGGTATTTACAAAAGCACAAAACATCAAAGTTAAGCTAGTACTAGACAATACAGAAATTGAACAAATATCTTCGTACAAATACCTTGGAGCATGGATCACAGAAGATACTGATCAGACAAAAGAAATAAGATGCCGCATTGAAATTGCGCGGTCAACTTTTAATAGAATGAGAAAACTTTTTTGTAATCGCGATATCAATATATCGCTCCGGATAAGAATGCTTCGATGTTATATTTTCTCTACCCTTTTGTATGGAGTTGAAGCTTGGACACTTAAAAAATCCAACATTAAAATCCTAGAAGCATTCGAAATGTGGTGTTACCGACGCATTTTGAAAATATCATGGATGGATCGCAAAACAAACGAACAAGTTCTCGAACAACTAGGAAAACAATGCGAAGTTTTAAATTCCATAAAGATCAGGAAATTGGAATACTTGGGGCACATCATGAGAGGTGAAAAGTACGAACTACTAAGGAATATAATGCAGGGTAAAATCAAAGGTAGAAGAAGCGTAGGAAGACGTAAAATCTCGTGGCTACGCAATCTCCGTGAGTGGTTTGGATGCAGTTCAATTGAACTATTCAGGCGAGTAACCAATAAAATTATAATTGCCAGAATGATTTCCAATCTCCGATAGGAGTGGAACTTGAAGAAGAAGAATAATAAAAATTATTCTATGTCTAATTCATGGTAAGTTGCAGGCAATGTTAAAATTTTCGTATAAACCGATAATATTATCGTACACCTGGCAACGCAGGATATTCTTTTAAACAGCGTTAAATTCAATCAAAAATATTCGAGTTTTAATCAGGAGATCAAGAGGAAATATAATTTTCCCTCTCTAATAAGTGGAAAAATAATGCTAGTATCTATGTTAGGATCTCTCGCTAATTTTGTAATACCAACGATAATTTTTTTGTGTACAGTACAGGTTGTCTGAACGACGCAATAGTCCGAACGGGCTCGCGCGACTCCCCCCTGCCTACCCCAGGATTGAATAGACATGAATCAACATGACGAACATCGATTTTTACTTTCCTTGCCCACCTACATATTATTTAGTTTTGTTAGTTCTTTTGAAGTACGATGTTCTGGTGAGTGGTTACATGTTGTGTGAAAAAGCCCGTCATTTTCATCGTGAAATGTCACCAAATCACCAAGCTTTTAGCGCAGGTAAGGGTTGGTTGGACAATTTCAAACGACGTCATGGAGTTAGTCATCTAAAAATTACGAGTGAGAAACAATTGTATTTAAAGAACTTGTGATTAAAAACAATTTGACACCTGAGCAAATTTATAATGCAGATAAAAGTGGGTTATTTTGGAGCATGTTACCAGACCACATATTGGTGTCATCTCAAGAAAAGAACGCTCCTGGTCAAAACATTATCAGGGACTCACAAACTTCGTTTGCTTGTTGTGGGGACGGCTAACAAGCATCATGCATTCAAATCTGTTGATCTTCCTTTATGGTATCCAGGGCAAAAAAGTTCATGGGTGACAAGAGATTTGTTCTTGGATTCGTTCAAAACTGAATTCGTCCCTAATGTTCGTCGTCATCTCGCATGTTTGAACCTCCCTCAGGAGGCAATGTTGTTCTTGGAAAACTGCTCTGGTTATCCATCCGCTGATAAACTTTGTAGTGAAGATGGTAAAATTTTAGCCATGTTCTTACCACCCAATACGATAGCTATGATTCAACCAATGGACCAGAATGTCATCCAGAACACAAACCTGCGTTATCGAAAAGCTTTACTCTCCAACATTCTTGCAGACGAGCAAAGTGAAACGGATCTGGTAAAAGCTTTGAAGAAAGTTAATCTCAAGGACGTCGTTTTCAATTTGGAAAATTGTTGGAAACAAAGACATCATTTTAAGCCCCCTGTCGTTCAGCTGGCTCAAGACAAGACGACACTAATAACTGAATCTGAGGTTCGAGAATGGGCATCAGGTTGCTGTGACAAAGAAATTGACACCCAAGAAATGCTCACGGATGAATAACTTGTTAGGGCCATTCAAAATGAAGAAACAGAAGAGGATATCGATGATGAACCACCTGCTTCAAAAACTTCTGCTGTTAAAGCTGTTAAAGCCCTGAACATGGCCATCAATTGGGCAGAAAACAACCTCAACAGCAGCGAGGAGATCATGGTGCTGAGGCGTATAAGACAAAGAGCGTTTAATCAGCATGTTGAGACTAGCGTTCATATCCCATTGTAGGTAATCCGAACGATGCGATCATCCGAACAACCCGATTCCCCGATTCCTTTCGGATTAACGCGACTGTACTTTATCTGTATACGTTTTAACACAGCAATCAAGGAAAAAAGTTAAATTATACATTACAAAAAAGCAGTTATGGAATGACGTGAAATAAAGAACAAAAATCAATTATTGAGGTTCACATTAGAGAAAAATAAATGACAAAGTTAGAAAATAAAAAATTACTTACGTGGTATTGCGGCTGCAAATCGTTCGCTATCCTCCATAAGTCGTTGCCTTAATTCATGCCTTCCAATGTTGGGAGGTCCAATAAGCACGATTGGTCTCTTGTTATTCGCTCTCGGATAGTATAGCGAAACTTCTTCGTATGTCAAGATTTCGTCAGGATCATATTCGTCCACGCTGTTCGAATACATTGGGTAACCACCGTCGACGTAGGTGCCTTTCTTCTTTTTTCTTTTATTGGTTTTACCACAGAGTAACGTCGTAGATTTTCTTTGAGGTTTTGACATTCGTTCTTCAGCTGCTAATCGCATATTCTCTCGCTGGTGTTGGAATGTTAGGGAAGGTACTAGCCCTGGCAAATAATATTAAACGTTAGGAAATTATTCATAAGTAGTTACAAATACTTCTTCATATGACGAAAAATCTTTGTTTAGATGAAAATCAATAATATATGTACCTGCTAACGTTTGATCTTCTTCTCCTTCCCTGTACGCCTGCCACCAATTCGAGTCTTCTTGACTAATGATATGCAAAACATCACCCTTTTGGAAGCCAATACCTAATTCTCTACAAGGTATGTACATATCTTCTTCTGGGTCATAATCGAAGTGCGCTCTGACATGAAGGAAGTTATCCCTGTAATTAACAACGTATGGTTTTTAATAACAGAAAGTGAATACGCTATTTAACTGACATTTCGGCTTTCAAAAACCAGCTGTACTCTTTAAAGCAACAACAAATCAACATATTTTTTTAAATTTTGAGTTAAACCAATAAAAGGTGTAATTACTATTTTGTATTTTCGAGAACGATTTTTGAATTGAAAATTGAAATGTCAATAAACTTATTTTAACCTCAAATTTCAAGGTTTATTGATTTCGGATTTCTTAAAAGGGTAATAAATCTTTCAGTTCTATTGTTTTAATTTATGCATTTTCTTCTTAAATATATGGTAAAAAATGGCCTATTTCTGGGATTATAACCCACTGATATATACATTTTGTACAATAAGTTTTGTAACAAAGTATTTTTTGTAACAGTGCAACATAAAATAAAGTGCTTTCAAACTCATTAAATATTTCTTATTATCATTTCGACTTGGAAATTGTTTTGACGAAGGATTCTTTAATCCAAGTCTTTATACTTTCCACGTCTGGCTTTCTAGTTATTGCTGTGGAAAGGAAAGTTTATAACAAATGCAGGCAATAAATCTTCAGAAGACTAAAATAATGGTGAAACTTGTCGCATTGACCTAAAGAACACTCAATTAGAACAAGTTTACAAATTCATATACGTTTCGTTCGTTCGTTACTATCGGTATTTTTTTTGAACCTATTTTCTATCCTTCCATTGTAGGTTTCCCCCAGTTTTCTCCATCTTTCCCTATCTTGAGCTGTTCTCTGCCATGTGGGACCTCCTTGTTTCCTGATGTCATCTTTAGACCTCATCTGTGGTCTGCCTCTTGATCTCTTTGCATTGTATGGACGCCACTTTCCGATGGCATTGTTCTATCGTCCGTCTTGGAAACGTTCATTGTGTCCAGCCCATTTCCATTTCATTTTTGCTGCTTGTTCTATCGCGTCTACTGTCTATGTTCTGGTTCTGATCCACTGGTTACGTTTTCTATCTTTAAGTGATATACCCAACATTTGTCTCTCCATCGCTCTTTGTGCCCTCCTTATCCTATCCAAATTGGCCTGTGTAAATGTCCATGTCTGTGCTCCGTAGGTGAGCACCGGTATTATACAGGAGTTATATACCTTGCATCGTAAGTATAGAGGAATTGTTTGATTTTTTAGAACGTAAGAAAGTTTGTCGAACGCTGCCCATCCCATTCTTACTCGTCTCGATATTTCGGCTGTTTGATTTTCTCTGTTTTCTCTCTACTATCGGTATGTAAGGAGTTAAATATTGGACATTAAAATTATATACCATGTGGAAGTCTTTAAAATGTGGCTTTCTCGCAGAATGGTCAGAACATCACATAACACATAAATAGAGGGTTATAACTTATAACAATGATTAAAAAAAGAAAGACCTCGTACCTAGGCCACATAATGGTAAATGGCAAGTATAACCTGCTCTGAATAATAATAATTAGAGGGGAATATAGAAGGCCGAAGAAGAGTAGGCCATGTCACGGCTTCGTAATATCAGAGTTTAGACAAGCATGAACGTTCAAGAATTACTACAAATAGCGCAGAATAGAGAACATTTTGATGTAGTGATTGGAAACCTCTAATAATGGAGTGCAGAAGAACAAGAAGTGAAAATATAAAATATATAAAGAACATAAATTTCGGCAAAAAACCGATACAGCCTCCAATGTTTATTAAAACTAACTTATGGGCACTTGATCCATTATTGCTTTGAAATTTTAAACTATAAAAAACTTTTCTATTTTATTTGTGTACCTGTTATTGTGCCTTGGCACTTGGGACGCAGGAATAATCAGGAAAGTCAAAGTGCCTTCCATTGTTTGCAAAATATCACAGACAGCATTTATGCTTTTGCCGCGCATCTCGATGCCGTTTACTTCGAGAATTTCGTCGCCTTCGTGAAGGAGGCCGCTCTTGTCAGCCGCTCCTCCTCTTATTACCCTTCCTACAAACAAACAAAAAGACAATTAAGTAATTATTGCACGAATGTTGTGTAAAATCTATTGTAATTTTAATGTTATAAAATATATTGCAAATTATACGATATAAAACTATAAAAGTGACTAATAAACCACATTAAAATATTTAATAAATGTACAAATCAATGTTGGCAACTCAGTGCCGACCGAGTTGGCTGGTAATTTTGTTTTGGTGTCCTTTTATTTAAAATCCAATATCATCGACATTATGAAGGGAACGGAGCCAATTAGTGACAATGGACCGCAGGAGTGTGACGTCACAACTGTCACATTGTCATTATTACTTTCCAAACAAATGTTGAAATGTCAAATCTCAAGACTTTTTAATTCCTATAAAGTTAACATTTTGCTTCCTCTGCTGCTTTTTCTTGTAAGTATAGTGTTTTTTACGATAATACCATCATAATTTCAGAGTTCTATTTCTATGAAATATGGTTTAAAAGTTTAATTAAAGAAATTTTAACCTTACTTTATTGATACTTGCATTTTATTCCTATTAGCATAAAACAATGTGCTTTATTATTTACACAACCTTGTAAAATTGTTGTAGTAACTATTAGAATACTTAAATATTGCAAAAAGCGGAAAGATTCTATAAAATAAATGAAAAAATAACGAAAAATACAAATTATCCACACTAAACAAGGTTTGTTTGGAAAGTGAAACTGACAGATGTCAATCAAAAATACGTCATCACTCATGTGGTCCATTATTTTTATAAAAGTAGGTAGATATAGTTGATTTATATAAAGTGTCTTACCTATAACAACGGCATCGCCATCGTTTTTGACAGTGGCACCTAGTGGTTCAGTACTTTTTTCTATTTTTATAACTTTTATGTTATTTTCCCCGTATCTACGATCCGTCGCCGTCAGTTGTGCGGTTTCGGAGGTAGATGGCGTTGGCGATGTGGAATCGGTTGGTAGAGTGGACGCCACACCATCATGAGCAACCATCAGAGCTTCAAATTCGTACGCTAAAATTAAATAAGTTTTATGTAATTTAATTATTTGTCAGAGCATGAATGTTTGATGTATTAATTTATAAAGACATAAAAAAATGTAATTAGGTTGGCTGTATATTTCCTGATTTATAAGACTTATTTGCAGTGTTTATCACGATACATTTATGACTTGATATTGTCAATCTAAGATTAGTTAGATCTATATTTTTAATTTTAAATTAAGTTTTTTGGAAGAATTTATTAGTTTACTTATCGTACCTCTAAAGCGTACTAATCGTATACATATAAAAATTTAATATATAAGAAAAGTAAAAAGTAGAATTCACAGACAAAAATTTAACTATTTTATACATTCAATAGCTTCTTTCGTAGCCAACAGGAAATCCTCGCGATTGTCTTCATAGGCTCTGATTTGGTACTTCTCCACTAAATGTTGTATCATATGTCTTGCCGCACCACAGTTGAACATGGGGGATGGTACTTTCCCTCATTTGTTTAGGGAATTCGCACAGTTGTCATTATGTTTACGGGCCTAAGGGACCCTATTTAGATGTGTCCATGTTTTCTTGATAACTTAAAGCCAGGTGGTTTCTGTGTGATACATGGAAGGTTCAAAGTTTGTAGCGATAATCTCAGAAAGTGAAAACATCGAACTTTGTCTCAGATAGTTGTTTAGCTGTTACTAAGGGTGGATATCTGTAGTTTAGTCTTTGAAGCACAAGGACTCTAATGCCTTTATGTACTGAGAGTTGGGGATTTTCCGTGACTTTTCATATTTCCTTCAAGAGTATGTTTTCTTCGAAGATTGATGGAGGGTTTCTAGGTTTCTAGTTTCAATGTTAGCAGAAAATGTTGTTAGATTTTATTTGAACGTGAACGTTTTGTCTATTATGACATACAGGTATCTCGGAAGTTTATTGGGAACAACACGTTGGTTTTATAAGATCACATTGAGTCCTTTATTTCCATATACACTCCGCGTCATAGAAAACGGGCCACCCCAAATATTTAAAATATTTTCGACATTATTATTTATTGCTACAAAATTAAGCATTTATTTTTTCGTATATTGAATCAATAACTCGTTTAGTATAAAATTTCATCATTATCGTAAAACATCAATCGAAAATAAAAAAATTAAGAAAAATAGGAAATTTATTGAAAAAAATCAACTTACAGTTTTTAAAACAACAATGAACTGTATATTAAAAATAAACCTGGTATCCATTTTCAGTAATGGATATTGCCACCTAAATTCTTGATGACACTCCTCATTCGATTTGGCATGGAATTTATAACGTTTTGGATATCTCTTTGGGGAAAAGTGAATTCCTCAATGAGTGCCATGTGGAGCTCTCCAGGTGTTGTTGGAGTAGGTATGCAACGCCTAACGCGACTTTTTAGCAGGATCCATATATGCTCTACAGGATTTAAATCGGGGCTTTGAGCAGGCCAGTCTATTTTTTGAATACCAACCTCGTCAAGGTACTCTGTTACTATCCTTGCCGTGTGTGATCTCGCATTGTCCTGCATTAGCAGGAATTCGTTGCCAATAAATCCAGCATAGGGCATCACATGATGTTGTAAGATTTCCGTTATGTACCTTACTGCTGTTAACGCACCTCTGTCGATCACGACGAGATCCGTATGCGCATCAAAAGAAATCCCTGCCCAAAACATTACTGAACCACCACCAAAAGCAACCCGTGGTGCCCGAGTGCAACCAGCGAAACGTTCTCCAACTCGTCTGTAGACCTTACTCCGTTTTTACCATAAATAGACATTCTACACTTATCCGTAAACACTACTTTTTTCCAATCGTCTGCTGTCCAATTGATGTACTCACGAGTAAAATCTAGTCGTCGACTTTTGTGAGCTGGGGAAAGTAAGGGTCCGTTGCTGGACTGCAAGCTGTCAAACCTTGCTCCTGTAATCTTCGCTTAATAGTAGACAGGCTGATTGCTGGTTCATGAACTTGCTGTAAATAGCCTTGAAGCATTCTAGCGGTTTGGGTCCGATTCCGTAATGCAGCAAGAAGGAAGACGCGATCTTCCCTAGCGGTTGTTTTCCTTTTTGGACCCGTACCAGGTCGTCGTTGGTGAGATCCTGTGACAATAAATCGTTGCTGGGTCCTTTGTACAGTCGAACGACTAAAATTCAATTGTCTTGCAACTTGTCTTTGACTTAATCCACTTCCCAGTAACGTTACAATTTCAACTGATTTTTGAAAACTCTCCATCGTTATTAACTGAAGACTACTTTACACTAAGTCGTCTACTGTAATACTGAGATGCGTTTAAAACTCATTAGAACCCTTTACAATGTTAAACATTTCTCAAAACAATCGCTTCCTCGAAAATTGATCAAGTTGTAAAAAACTTTTTCTCAAAATTTGTTTTATAGGTTCTACGAATATCCTCAATCCAGTTACAGGGTCGGTTTGCTTTCGCAACAAAACCCATTTAACTTAAATAACCCAAGGCACATTAAAAACAAAATAATGTTAATTCAATATACAACAAAATAAATGCTTAATTTTGTAGCAATAAATAACAATTTCGAAAATATTTTAAATATTTGGGGTGGCCCGTTTTCTATGACGCGGAGTGTAGTTAGTTAGATGGAAATAGCATGCTTGTTTGTAGTTTGATCGGTCTATTAAAAATTTTGGTGTTAGTTGCCCAGTCATCTGCATATTCGAACTTCTTGGGCATATCCGCAATCGACAAACTTAACAAAATTATTGCCAAAATTGAGTCCATTACTAAATTTCTTGTGATTTCGCACAGAGGTTTATAGATAAGACCCTGTCTCCAGTTTGTGTCGTAGGCCACTGATAAATCTATGAAGACAACAGTTTTCTGTTTTCTTTGAAACATAGCTTTAATATATGTTGTAAGTGCAAAGTTTTGGTCGGTACAGCTGTGATTGGGAAGGAACCCTGCCTGTTCTATGTGGATCAACAGTCTCTTAAGAAGTTTATATATTCAGTGAAAAAAAATGGACAATAGCTTTGTGGCTCGTTAGTTGTTTTTCTAGGCTTTACCAATGCTATAGTTTTCGTTGTTTTCGGAGAAATCGGATATCGGAGAAGAGTAGAGCTAGCCACATTTGTACATATTTTCCACAGTGTATGATGAACTCTAGAAGAATATTGTCAAAACCAGGTTCCTTTTGATTTTTAGCTCTAAATACTACTGAAAAACTTTAATGACACGTATTTACCACAACAAAAACCAAAAATAGTTGCCAAAACGAAAAGTCATCTGTCAAATTGGCTAAAACAAAGCACCAATTAATAACAATAATTACAGGTTAAAATATTAGAACAAAACAGAATTTCTCAAGAATGGAGATCAAACATACCTGTTCTGAAAAAGGGAGACAAATCGGACCCGGAAAATTACAGAGGAATCAATTTATTAAACACAACACTAAAATTAACAACCAAAGTGTTAACAAATAAACTGAATGAAATTATAACACTAGTAGAAGAACCACAAGGTTTCAGATCGAGAAGATCGTGCACCGACGCTATATTTATAATGAGGCAAGTGCAAGAGAAATCATTAGAATACAGCAAACCGGCATATCTATGTTTCGTGGACCTTAAGAAGGCATTTGACATGGTCAAATTAAAGGACATTATCCACTTATTCTACGCAAGAGAGATACCTCTAGGAATAATCAAAACGATCGAAAATATCTAGCAAAACAACACAATAAAAGTAAAAGTTGAAGGAGAACTATCTGTCTCTATTGAAGCTGCCAATGGGATAAGACAGGGAGTCCTCTATTGTTCAACCTGATTACGGATGAAATAATAAAAAAAGTAAGAACTAAAAAAAGATACCAAATGGGAAAAAAGAAACTTAAAATAATCAATTTAATATAACCGCCAAAAAATTTAACATGTTAATTTCCCGAAAAAAGACAAAATGCATGATTATAACAAGAAATTCACTAAGAGATCCATTGGAGCTGGAAGGTCAGATAATAGAACAAGTGGTGAAGTTTAAATATTTAAACATCACATTATCTAGCTACTGAAAGCTCGAAACAGAAGTGGAAGATCAAGTGAATAGAGCCGACAGAGTAGCAGGCTGCCTGAATATAACAATATGGGGAAATAAAAATATCGGAAAAGAAACGAAAGGTAGAATTTACAAAACAGATACCAGATCAATAATGATATACGCGGCAGAAACACGAGCTAAAAGAGAGAGCAAAAAGGATCTTGAAACACTTGAAAAAATTGATGGCAAAATAATATGGGACAGAGCTAGAAGTACAGATATACGACGTAGGTGCATGGTGGAGAACATGAGTGACCAGTGGCGGATCTAGACTTTGCCTTGGGGGGGGGGGAACTTCCAATGAAATAATGAAATACCAACAAACAGAGGTAAATTCAAACTTCTTGTTTTTAATCCACCCCTGTATTCGCCCCTGTCAAGTACCGGGTAAGAAATAGAAGGAAGTATCATATAAGAATACAACAAATAGTAGTAAAGACGGTAAGAGTTGGTTCCCCAAAAGGAAGACGATCAGTAGGAAGATCACGAAAGCGATGGAACGACAACTTACTGGAGGCGCATTGAAAACAGACAGAGTCATGTCTACATAAAAAAAGAAGAAGAGGAAGAAGTTAAAATAAACGATTTCGAGATTTGAGAGATCAAAACGTTAAAATAACTGTAAAATGTAATTTTTATTACTATTAACTGTGATGTAATCCCACATAAATTCAACATTTAAACCTCTATTAAATATATTACTAACTAATCACCGCTATAACTATGTATTGCTTAATGCGATAACTTCAAACAAATGTTTGATGCGAAGTTCGTAATAGATACATATCATTAAGGGTCATTCGAGTAAATATAACATAATAAAAATCTTGAAGTTTGTTTAATAATGAATAGGTTAACGACATATAATAGTATTTGTAGACATATTATAATTTTCCCTATGGACAAAATGGGATTTATTGATTAAAACTCTTAAAAACTACATAAAATAAGTTCTTAGATATCCATAATAGTACAAACGATTTATTGGATATTTTCAAGCACAATTTTCCCAACTTGATAAAAAAAAGGAAAAATAAATAAATAAGTAATAGTAATATTACGAAGCTAAACTTTGCAATTCAGGCGACATTGCTACCCAAATGTACCCTATATTGAGGAACAAGAGAAGTAAAAGTATGTAACATCTGTATATACATATTGTATAAGAAAGTAAGTTGTATGAGATTATTTGGTTTTATTTACTTATTTCTAAGGATATTTTATAAATTTACGACACATTGACTTTTGTATATGAATTTAACACACAAGATTAAAAGTTTAAAGTCTAAGAAATGAATATAGAGCAGATATATCTTACAAGGTCGCAAATATTCGCTACTGGTAGTAGGCAATTTTTTGGAAAATTTTCTGACAAGCATACTTTGCAATGCAAAGCCTGGTAAAAATGGCATATGCATAGAAATGATCAAGTTTGGTGGAGAACAACTACAAAGAAAAATATATCAGCTACTAGTGCAAGTATGGGAAAAGGAAATAATGCCATCGGAGTGGTATGAAGCCCTCATATGCCCTCTGCATAAAAAAGGAGACAAACTAAAGTGTGACAACTATAGAGGTATAGCCTTACTAGACACGGTATACAAAATCTTGGTAAGAATATTAAGAAATAAACTAAATTGCTACACGGAAAGAATCCTACATGACTATTAGGCCGGCTTTAGAAAGGAGAGATCTACTGTAGACCAAATCTCATTAAAGGAGATACAAATGACTTTATGTTATGAAGGTAAAGTTCCTCTGCATGTTTTGTTTGTGGATTTTAGACAAGCATATGATAGAGTCAAAATGTATCGCGCAATGGAACATTTGGGTATACCAAAGAAACTGATCCGGCTAGTAAAAATGATATTAATTAACTCTAAGTGTGAAATTGGTTGGCAGGATCACATATCAGATCAATTTACGGTTGCAAAAGGCTTGAGACAGGGAGATCCTTTATCCACTACATTATTCAATTTAGTGTTAGAAACTGTAATCAGAAAAAGCAACATGAAGGTGGAAGAAACAATCATGAAAAATGAGCACCAGTGCTTGGCATTTGCTGATGATTTAACGATCCTAACAAAAACCGAGAAAGAATTAAGAAGAGTTGTGAAGAAAATAATCAAAGAAGCACAAAAATTCGGATTGGAACTAAATGAAAACAAATATATGATCATGGGAGGAACAGAAGGGAAAAAAGAAGACTTTAGTGTGAGGTCTGTAAGTGGTAAAAGCTATAGTTTTAAAAGGGTGGACAAATTTGAATACTTAAGTGTAGTTTTCGATGAAAATGGAAAAGAGAAATGGGAGCTGGAAGCCAGAAAAGCAAAAGGGAATAAAAAATTAGGTAGTTTAAGAACCCTACTGAACTCAAATCAATACGTTTGTAGACAAGGTAAACACAGAATATATAAAACAGTAATTCAACCCACAGGAGAGGATACTCTCTCTAAGAAGGAAGAGGATACTCTGGAAAGATGGGAAAGGAAAATACTGAGACGCATATTCGGAGGACGGAAGACAGATGATGGTTGGGAGAGAAGAACCAACAATGAATTAATGGCCTTACCAAGTTCGTCAAGTCACAAAGAATCAGATGGTTGGGACATGTGGAAAAAATGGAAGCAAACAGAATGCCCAAACTAGTAATAACCAGAAAACTAATCGGCCCCAAAAGAAGAGGTAGATCCAGAACGAAGTGGATTAGTAAAGTGGAGGAAGACCTTAAACACGTGAAGGTGAGGGACTGGAAAAGAAAAGCACAAAATAGAAGCGAATGGAGAAATATTGTCCACCAGGTCCTTCAGAGTAGTTAAGAATGTTGTATATACATATTTAAGTTAAAGTTTTGTTTAAAATAATTGTATTTAGTTAATATTAGGATTATGTTTAAAAAAATGCCCTAGGCCTTAACGGCCTGTTGTGCGTAAAAATAAATAAAAATACTTTGCAATGTCTTATCTTACTAAAGATGAAGAATTTAACCAAAAAACATAAACTATTTGATATTATTAACATAAAATGGAAGATAGTGTTCCTAATACACCCGATCGGAGATCAAAAGGTATATAGATGCGAACTATACGACGCATAGCGCCACATAGCCACTTCTACTTAATTCCAACTCTCACCTCCTCGTGCTGGACACCGGTAACCTGAGCCTGTGGTAACAGATCCCAAAGAGGGAATCAGGGTCAGAGCTAACGAGAGAGGAAGAATTGATCCTTTGAAAAATAGGGGGTTAGGCTGAATGTCAATTATTTCCTCCGAGAAAAAATAACCAGTTGTTAAAGTTCGAGAAATAAAATCCGGACTGATTAAACGACGACTTTTTATATCTCATCTTTTTACATTCCAAATGCACATCTTAGGTACTGGATTCATAGCAAATTAAAGAACGAAGTACATAATAAACAATTTTAAAGCGATTAACTCTAGAATGTACATTCTAAAACTTAAATGACATTTCTTCAACTATAGCACAATTAATGTATTTGCTTCCACAGAGGAAAAAGAGTCTGCTTAACAATTATGTGCAAAACATGATATAAAATTATTGTTCCATCCCTTCACACATATTTTTTCTTTAAGTATTTTAAGGATGTTTAATTATAATTAATGTGTGTGTGTACTTATACTTCGTTTAACTACCGCAAGATTACCACAGTGTTTATGTAACCATCCAACCTCAGTGTAATTCGACGCATTTGAACTCGAGATTCTACATTTCGGCGATCTGGAGAGAGGAAAGAGACAGACACAATACAAGGGTAGCGTAAAATCATAATTTACATACACACAAACAATTCAAATAATTGATAAGTTTGCACTTAACTTTTTCGTCATAAAATATACAGCCAGCACCTTTAAACGAATATTTAACACATGTATCTCCTATATTAATGAAGTACATTTGTACAATTAATCTACGGAAACCTAAACGCAAAAGTTGGAAAGGAAAAACAATTCCAACACACAATATGTAACAACAGTCTCCACGAGGAATCGAACGACAATAACAAGATCACAATAACGTGATCCTGGCCAGTACATACTTCGAAAGAAAAAATCTACACAAAGGCATTTGGAACGCACCAGACGGACTAATGGTAAACATGATAGATCAAGTCATTGTTGACTTAAGGAATCAATCTAACATCTCAAAAAAGGAGCTTACATATTAAAAGAGGAGCTAATGCGGATTCTGACCACTGAATGGTCAAAAGTAGGATTAAAAAGAAAAAGGATTTGATTACGGATTTATAATTTGAAAAGAAGTGGCTAAAGAAGTACTAGAGATGGAGATAAATCCAAGAAGAAACAGAACAGGTGAGTTATAATGAAGAATGTTAGAATATAAATATAAAGAAGAAAAAAAGTCCACCAAAAAAAGAAGTCGGTAAATATGAATAGAGAACTTGAAAAAGAAAACACATAGAAGCAGAAAAGGACTCAAACCTAGAACAACGATGTCTAGAGATAATGAAGGGAATGCCTTGATAGAACCGCATGAAATACTAAGATGGATGGCGGAAGGACAATTTTAAGGGAGACAAAAATCAAGCGAAGCCTAAAATACTATTGGACCAGCAGAGAAAAAAGCTCCTAACAATGGCTGAGCATAGAGGAGCATTAGATAAACTAAAAAATAATAAGGAAACGGGATCAGACCAAATCGCATCTGAGCTGATTAAGGAAGGAAGAGACTCAATAATGAAACTCATACATGGACTAACAATAAATATATCGTTGAACAAGCAGCTACCTGATGAATGAAGTTAAGATCTCATCACATAAGAAAACTACAAGATAAAAAACATGATTGGTAAAATAAAAAGATCATTATATACTACTCCTTACTTACCAGTCAATAAAGTTGCCAATTCCACGGCATAAGCACTTTGGGAATGACCTATCGCATCCAGGCAGTCTCTCAGGGCGGTTTGAGCTGTAGGCGAGGGCCTGGGCGCGGTTCGTGACCTAACGCTTTGGACTGTGTTGTGGACAGCCAGCGCTCGGCTGAATTGCGGTGATAAAAGGAGGGACTGGATGGCGGCGATTCGGCCTTCTAGACTGCTTAATCCGCTTCCTGAGCCGACTTTCTTTAGTTGCAGTTGTAACCTTTGGATGGATGCGACCAAGTCACCATAAGCTGAAAAATGTTAACGAGCTAAAATATTGTATGGCGATGTATATTAGATAAACAGATAGACATTATAATAAAGAAATTTTGACAATAATTTTATAGATATTACTAATAAGCTAAAAAACGAATCACTAAACCTACCATTGAAAACCGCTGTGAAAATTTTTACATTCGATTCGGGAAAGGGTCAGGAAAGTTTGTGAACAAAATTCATGGTGGTAAAATGAAAATTACATTTTGTGCAAAAGAAAAATGCATTTCCCAAGAGCACAAGAAATAAAAAATTTGTAACAAGAAAATATCGACAGGAATAAGTTTAATTTTGTTATTCGAAGGTTTTAGAGGTGGCTGAATACGAATATGATAACGGGGATGGTCCACCGGCTACCTGGTGCCCAGAATGGATCTTGTCGCCTGGAGTTTTATGTTATTTTCATTCCAAATGAATCAAAAGTCATTAATCAAGGGTTTTAGAGGTCGATAAACACGAATATTATGACGTAGATGATCCACGAGTTACCTGGAGCCCAGTGTGGACATCGTTTCCTAGATTTTTATGTTATATTATTAGAAATCAATCAGAAGTCATTACTCGGGAGTTTTTGGGGTTGCTAAAAACGAATATTAAGACGGTTATGACCTCCAAGGTATAAATATATAATACAAAAAATTTTTTACTAAGTAAAAAATGATAATTAATACATAAGCGTATCATTCAAATTTATTTTTTCCTCGTCTTCTTCTGCATCAGACAATTGATTTTCTTGATAGTTTTCCATATTTGTGCAATTTTCAACCAGCACAATTTTTACGTGCCAAATTGCAAACCAAGCCATTCTTTCTACATCCACATTTTTATTTAAAAAATGGTGATAAAAAGAAAAAACTTTGGTGTCCATTGCTGGGAAATATAAAGAGGCAGACTATAAAATAACCAAGTATGAAATCTCTGTAAAATACACGACATTGTAGGATACGGAAGACGGGAATGGAACCAGTTTAAAGCTTAGAAGCACCATACCACCTTCTTCTTCTTAACGTGCCCTATTAAGTCCCCTTGACGTTGGCGATTAACCTGGAAAACTGTCTCTGTCTCGAGCTATTCTAAATAGTTGCTCAGCTTTTTTTATTCCTGTCCACTTCCTGATATTCTTCAACCAAGAGGCCTGCTTTCTACCAATTCCTCTGAGTACTTCGATTTTGCCCATCATAATAAGTTGAAGAATATTATATCGGTCTCCCCTTACTACGTGTCCAAAATAGGGCACTATGTTTGGTAAAATAAATCTTTTAAAGGGTCCGGTGGTATGACACTACGTGGTGGTGTCGTACGTGACACTACGTGTCATACCACCAGACCCTTTAAAAGATGGTGACATAGATGATAGTTAACATCACCAATTTGCAAGAAAATACTATTTTATTAGCATCAAAATGAAGCATATATTTTGCCATTTACAATCTAATTAAGTATGGAAAATAATGTCATCAATATGGTGACCATCTTGATTTCCTGGCGAATTGCGTTTGTCAACTCGATCAAATTACGAGGTTTGCTAGCATATACACGACTCTTTAAATACCCCTATAGAAAAAAATCACAAATTTACAGGTCTGGAAACCTTGGAGGCCACGGCAAATCTCCGAAACGTGAAATGAGTTGTCCTGGGAACAGGTTGCGGAGAATATTCATTGAAGCATGGGCAGTATGTGTCATGGCAAAATCCTGCTGAAACCACACATTCTTTGGGTTTATCCCTTTTCTGCGTAGTTCTGGAACCAAAAAATTTTGGATTATGTCAACGAGAATATAATTAACAGTGACGGTATGGCCAGCCTCTTCGAAAAAATATGGCCCAATAATGCCATTTGGGCCAATGGCACACCACACTGTGACTTTTTGAGAATTTAAAAGACGCTCATGGAGTTTTTGTAAGTTTTCAGGAGCCCAGTACCTGTAATTCTGTTTATTAACCGTTCCGTCCAAATGGGAATGAGCTTCGTCGCTCATTAGAAGATGCTGATCTAAGTTATCCTCCAACAGAACAACATCTTTTCATTAATTTCTGGACAATCTTAGGCAACCTTATGCAGTCCTTATGCAACATTTTTCTAAACGATTCCCGAATAATGTTTTCAATTGCATGTTTTCGGGCAGACCGTGTATGTTTAGAGGAGTTCTTACTGTTCTATTCGGACGTTGTTGCTTTGTTTTCATGGCACTGTCTGTTGTTCTATAATTCTTTAGCCATCTTAAGATTGTGTTGCGAGATGGAATTGCTCCACGCCTACCAATATTAAAGTGAGTGTGAAAAAGCCGCTGCGTAGTGATCACTGATTCTTGATTTCGGATAAACGTATCGTATGCAAACGGACGATGTTCTACCGTCAACTTCTTCATCTTTATTCTAATGGCACAATGACACATGACACTGACAGAGGTAATAACGCCGCCACACAGCGCTTCTCCCACTCTCATCAACTCAAGCTTCGTACTATGCGTTCTAAAAACATCCAGCTCTCGATTGTCACCCAGAAGAAGAAAAAGAACAAGAAAATTTTCAATTCGACTGTATACTTTGATTTACTAATTTCCTAGTTTTAAATGCGTTAGTATTTAAATTTTATTATTCTATTGTATTTTGGTCACAAAGGGGAAGGTGTAACGAAAAATGTCCACATTTATCTGTTTTGGATTCAAAATTTTAAAATTGACTTGTACAAATATTAGGATCACTCTGTAAAAGATTGATGGTGTCACATTTTAAGAAATAGCTCATTTTTATGTTACGCGAATTTGTTGTTTTACTTTTTTGTTGTTGATTGCTTCAATAACAGTTTGCTTTATTTCATTTCGAATAATTGTTAACCTGACATTTCGCATCACCTTTTATTTTCGTGTTGCAAACCGAAATATCCAAACATGTACATTTTCCATTGGACACGTACTAACCGCACGAGCCCAAATTCAAATTCGTCTGTTGTCGGTATGCGATGTGACAATTTCACTCTAATTTGCTGACAAGTTGTCGACAGACTGTTTAGTTAGATGATAGCCATTGATTATTCAGAATAGTCCTTTATTAATAGACATAGCAATAAGTTTTTATATCGTTACGTTCATGCAATAACTATTTGTCTTAAATATTTTCATTTTTTTTTTAATATTAGATCAATTACATCTGTAGTATTTGCAGTCGCTGTCTGGGGTACATCGAGCAGTTCTATATAGTTGATTAGATATCATTGGCGGTCCAAAACCCTGAGAAAGGAGGATATTTGATAAACCTAGCAACCTACCCGTTATAAATTTGAAATGTGACAGGTATAATCTTAGAAGATGCTGAAATGCCTAAGAAAGAAGGCAAAGACAAACATAGGTATTAAGAGTAGCATCATGAAATAATGTTGGAGATGATATATAGTATACTGATATACAGTAGCTGAAGAACAGAAAAGCAGCAGGTAAAGACCAGATACCAAACGAATTACTGAAATATTGTGGAGCAGCAATGACAGAACAAATATATATATATATATATATATATATATATATATATATATATATATATATATATATATCCGGTTTTTTGGTTTTTTAGGCGTTACCCCCGTCCGGTAGGGATCTATGGAGGAGTATCACCAAGCCGCAAGCCCTTATCTCTTGCCGTACTGCTCCACCATAGGCCGATATATCATAAGTGATTATAAAAAGCACCAAGAAGAGAAAGCTGGAGATTGCTATAAAATATTACGCAAGGAAAATAGCAGACAAACGCAGTTCAGAACGAAGAAAGATTTCATGGTTGAAGAACTTGTGAGATTGGTATGGTATTGATAGAAGCAAGCTATTTAGGGTGGGAGTTAATAAAATTAAGAAAGCTATGATGGTAACAAATATTCTGAAAGGACATGGTACATGAATGGTGCATGGTACAGAAGAAATTGCTTTATTATTCATACGTCAGGCGTATAAATGTTAAACCAGTTATTGTTGTTCATTTAAAAATATTTTACGAGAGAGTTAAAATCTATCAAGATAAGAGCGATAGGGCGAATTTCAGATATTTAATTTTGGCCCGCTTTTCAATTTAATAACCTCTTAAATATTACCTTTAACGATCATTTTGATTGTAGCTATTTTCTTGGTAACATTTAACAACTTTAATATTTTATATTTTGGATATCAAACACAAATGCAACTGCATTTTTAAAATATATTAAATATATTAATTAAAATTTTGATTCTTCTTTAACTTCCCCTTGCCTGCCTTACACAACTTTAAAGAAAACGATTAGTAACTGTCAGAAAAAGACAAACGACTAAGAAACAAGACAAGGACGCGAACATTCTTAACAATTTTTCTTGCCGACGCCATGCTATTCGTCACCTTTATTTATCCAAGCGAGTTAATAGACAATAAAGGAAACATTCGAGAAAAATAATTGACTGAGCTTCTGTAAACTGTCTCTTACAATATATTCCTTGAATACTAATTTCAAATGAAACGAAATAAGTGAATGAATTACCATTTGTTTACGACATGTAGCTTGTAGGTAGATCTTGTAACTTTTGTTTTCGAATAAACATAAAATGCACTATAATGACCATATCAGATGTATATTAGTAGTGGATTTTTAGAAATGAAATAAATAGTAACATTTTGATTACCGTATTTTTCATCTACAGGATTGAACTATTACCTATTCAAACGACCATAATTTTTTTGTGTGAAATTATTTTTAATTGATTCAAATGACAAAAATGTGTGAAAATAATCAAAAATTTAGAATTCACTCACTTTAGCTCGATGTGGCCACCTTTTGCCTTGACTATGGTCTTCAAACGATCTAAAAACGAGTTCAATGCTGCACGAATGCGATCTTCCAGTTTTTTTCCCATTTACGTATAATTGTGCGTATAATTGCTTTCTATATGCGCATTTCTTGCGCATCCATACTGGAATAGTTTTTAGTCCTCACCTTGCTCTCCAAAATCTAGCAGATGGAATAGTCCATCAGATTTGCGTCTGGCGAATTCGAAAGCCATTGTGTGGATGAAATGAAGTGTGGAACATGGTTCACACTAGCTTTATGAGAGTGTGCCAAGTCTTGTTGGAACGCCCAACGAATCTTTTTGAAAAATGTGTCTAGGGAGTACATGAATGTAGCCACTAAATATATGGGTAAAAACCCGTTAACAAATAATTAATTACATTTAATTTACAAAATTTCTTATAATGATTTAAGATGTTAAAGTTACCGTTGGCTTAGGTAACATGGTGACATATGACTCCACGTTGAAGTTGCTAGTCCTGAGACGGTGTGTCTACGAAGACTGTATGGGAGCGAACTCATGACTATACATGACTTTATAAATGTTCGAACTGCAGCCCTTGCTGTATTATCCAGTAACCCAAACGTTGTACAAATTCTTGTTAAACCTTGTTTATTGTCTTGAGAAATATTGTTTATTGCTGTCCGAATTCTCTGTTGTAATTCTTGAATATTTGCTGGTGTCATTTGATACACAACATTCTTCAGATGGTCCCACATAAAATAATCCAAAGGATTGAAATCTGGTGACCTCGCTGGTCGCTGGTTTGGGTTACTGTTAAATACAGAAAGGGCTGCAGTTCGAATAATTATAAAGTCATATATTTCATCATATTCTGTCCGCTAGACAATAAGTATTTTTGATAATATTGTGAATTTAACTAGCGCGTTACTTTATGAACACACACAAAACTATTGTATTTTTGTCCACCCTGTACCAATTTGAATCAACATGTGATACATTTTTGGAATCAGCTCAGCTAGAGTAATCCGAAAATTGAGACAAAATGGGGGTATTCCATTTAAAAAAAATGACGGTGACGTCATAACTCGAAAGTAATTCACCCTGCATATTAGAATATTATTTTAAAATACGGTAAATTAAAATTAAAAATCGACGTGTTTCAGGATTATTTCTTAAAATGCTCTATTTAGCTAAAAAAGAATTTGTTCCATACTTTACGGACACAATGTAGGTATATGATTAACTATTATGGACAACCGTTCAAGATGGAAGCAAGTTGTGCAGTCAGACAAGACCCTCCCCTGCTTGTAGTGCTACGAGAAGAAGAAGAAGTCTTAAACTAAATTAGCTCCCTTAATAAAATATCACAGTATTCACATTATATATTTTATTTCTTACAAGTTTAAATATATTGTTGTTTATATAAAAATATTCGTTTTTTATCACTTTTAAAGTTAATAAAATATATTTTGAGTCATTTTCTGCAAATTCATTATTAATCTCTTCTCGAAGTTACTATCTTCTAAAATATCTTTCTCAATTAACATGAGCATAAATGATTCTAATGTACCTATTTCGATCTAGCATTGATCTTTGATGGAAGACCTCAGAAATATGAAACCTCAGTTATAAATGTAAAAGCTATTCCTAGATAAGATCATAAGCTGCTAAAATGAACTACAGGCTCAAACTATCAAAAATTATTAATTATAGTTTTGTACAATATAGAAACTGAAGAAAAAATAGAAATTTTAATGGAGTGGTTTATTGACAGTGTCTCTCAAGTATTTCATTTATACATAGATATAATGATATTTCTCCAACCCAACGAAAAAGGTATATGAAGAAGCTTTAATTTAAATATACATCATAAAACTTGATATAGCGTAACCTGGATGACAGAAAACTTCAATATAACGTCGCCTCAAATAAATTCTCGTGGTCGTTAGACAACCGACCAGTAGATACATTAATTTTCCGTCAATAAATCAGTTTTCAGTTGCATTACACAACGCATCGTGTAGTTAGAGTTGCATAACGTACTCGTACAATTTGAAATGGAAATACATACCGTCTATTCTAGGTCAACTTACAGAGAGATTTCGATGTTTGATTTGAAATTAAACATAAAAATCAAGAGCGAAATATTTTTTAACATTAAGCTATTAGTTAAATAAAAGTTTTTACAGAAATTCCAAATTTTGTTTTTTTAAAAAATAACTACTCGTAATTCAGTTTGAGGCAAATTTTGCCGATTACTTCATTAATTTGTTTGAAATTCCATAAAACAATTATTGCTTGAGTATTGCATAAAATATACATCACATTTAAATCCGAATAATACTTGCTTGTAGGAAATTTACAATGTTGCCTAGATTTATATAAAATTAGAGAAGATCGGTAGAATAGATCCATTATAAAATAAATGGTTCGGTTTTAATTATCAAATAAGTAATGACTGAAATATGTAATATATAATATATATATATATATATATATATATATATATATATATATATATATATATATATATAAGTAAAAAGTAATGGCATGTCTCGCAAAACAAAAAACCAAAAATGGTATATCGATAGAAGGCAACCGTATATACGTATTTCTGACTATTGGTCGTCTTCAGTACGGTGCAGCCAAGTTAGAAAAGGAGCATATTAACTTGGGAAAGGATCACTACAGGAGCAATGCAACCAATTGGACCAATATATACCAATATATACCAATATATATACGGTTGCCTTCCATCGATATACCATTTTTGGTTTTTTGTTTTGCGAGACATGCCATTACTTTTTACTTTTATTATTCACTCGCATTATCCTTTTCTATATATATATATATATATATATATATATATATATATATATATATATATATATATATATACATGAGATTGAAAATTGTCGATACTTTTTGACTGTAAAGATGCACAAAACATAAAAAATTCAATAATATTCAAATGAGAAAATTCAGACATACATTATACATTTTAAAGTAGACGACTTTAAAATGATATTACCAATATTGTTGAGGTGCGTTCCTGGGAGGACTTTATCTGGCGGACTTAACGAACAGATCTCGTAACAATCATCAAAATAAACCGCCTAAGATGGGTGGGCTACGTTATGCGAATGGATGAAAGTGATCCTTCTAAAATAACCATGCTGAATAGGCTGGTCGGAAGAAGAAGAAGGGAGCTACCTTAACTCAGGTATCTGGACGATATACAGGACAATTTAAGAGAGATTGGAGTAAGGGGGTGGAGAAGACAGGAATTAAGAATGTTTTGAGGTTTGAGGCAGGATAGAGATAAGGAAGGGCTGTAGCGACAACTGATGATGACTGATGAGTGAAATAGTCAACTTGTTCAACAATACATTCCCAAACCATTCTCCTATCCATAAGGTGACAGAACACACAATTATAAAGTGCTTTGAGTGTTGCTTGGTGTCGCCTTACTAACGTGTTCACGATATTGTTCTAAGATTTGCTTTAAACTCTGCCCACCTTAATTACAAAACAATGTTTTGTATTTTGAGAATGATTTCCGAAGTGGAAATCAAAACATCAAAAATAAAGTTATTTTAAACTTAAATTATGGCTTATTCCGAATAAAAGTAAATCGTAACTTCTGAAAAGAGACTTCGGCTTTACGAATGCTGATCTTGCTTTCCCTATACGTTGTTGTTATTTCAGTAGAGTGGTCCCATTGTGGTCCCATTGACTGTTTATGTTAGTACCAAGATATGTGTAGCTGTGTACCAAGATATGTCAATTGACTGTTGGTTTACCAAAAAAAGTGTATTTAATATTTCGCGCATACTAACTACCATGTCTTTATTTTGTTCGTATTGAGATCCAGCCCATATTCTCGACTTATTTCTGATATGCGCGACATCATTGCTTGTAAACCATCTAGGCTAGGTGCAAAAACTACTGCTCGCGTCAACCAAATCTTTTACAATACATAGATATAATATGAGAGCAGAGTCTAGAAAACTAAAGAAACATCACCAAACGGCCAAAGAAGGCGAAGACAAATATGGAATGATAACCTGGACATCCAATTAAAAGATATCCGAAGGTGAAGAACAGGTTGAAGCTTTTCAGGTAAATAGGAATAAGAACAACCATCACAAAATTAGTACTAAATTAATTTTGATTGTTGAATCTTTATAAAATTTCAATTTTGAAGAAAATTTAAAATGTTCACATTATTATTCCCCATTCTTTTAAGATCGTTCTATAATTCCGGTGCTTACTGTATTAGAAAGTGTCCTGGGTTTTTTATTTCGGAACTATTGGTTTTTATCAGTTCTTTGGTAAAATATTCTACTATGTTATGGTAAGTCAAATTGTTTACGTAAAAACGGCATGCTTTCAATAAGATGGAAACCTCTTTCTGGATATCAACCAAATATTTTGTAATTTCTTTCATTTTATATTTTATTATAAACGATCTTGTTAACTTACCATACTGTACATGGACGATTTCCTTTTCAGCTGTTGCTGGAGATGATGGCGTGCCCGGTCTGGAGGACTCCTGGCTCTCGTCTTCGAAGGCATCGTTGATGGAACCGTGGGGTTTACTCTCTAGAGCTTGCAATTTGCGAGAACCTCGCAATGATCGGTTTAGGAATTCATTTTGGGCTGCTAATCGATCTTCTTCTTCTTTGCGTTTTCTAATTTGTTCCTAAAACAAAGGAGAACTTTTTTAGTTTTAATTCTCCTGATATACCGACCTATTCAATTTATTCAATTTACAAATTATCTCAAAGCTATTTTTATAGATTACGAAATCTCATAAGCATTATACCTTGGATTTAAACTACTGTACTGTTTTAACCTACAAGGCTTGTCTTTGAAGCCATACGGTAACGATAACGGTTTGCAAACGGTAAATTAAATTGGAAAGTGAAAGAGATCATATATAGTAAAAAAAGGTTAAAGAATGGGGAGTAGGGGTTGACAGAAGGAATCCTAGACAACCCCCTACCATATAGACATTTTGATTATCTAAACAGAATAACATTTAACTGGTGAGCAATTGTACAAGATAGACAAACTTTAGAAAATTATGTATAAAATATGCACTTTGTATTAAATCGAAGTATTAATAAATTCAATCAGAATTTGATATCACATTGGGAAGCAAATCTTCAATACATACAATATCTTGTTCAAAAACAAATAAATTGGATCTACGAAATTGCAACCTTTCCCGGATCGTAGATAAACTGGCTCTGTGCAGAATTTTTTCCAACTTTCTGCTTGAATATGCTGATTTCATTCAATTTACAGTGGAACCTCGATTATCCGTCAGGGCACCGGACCAAGAGTATGACGGATAATCGAAAAGACGGTTAAGAGAACATTAAAAAAATCATAGTATAACTCTCAAATTTTATTTGTATGTTTTATTTGACAATATAAGAGGAATTTGTGTTAGTACAGTAAAATCAATTTGATTTAAAATATTCCGAAATCTTGGTTTGTTTTATTCTTACTTCACATTTAGTGAATTTCTTAATCGAAGAAAAATCATCCAATCTGCCTTATTTGCTTCTTCTTGCAGTGAATACCACTCGATGAATTGTTGAATGTGCGATGCAGCTTCTCTAGATTTTTTATGCAAATCTTTGTGAGTTGCAATAGCATCATCAACATCGCCATCGTCAAAATCTGTGTCAGCTTCTGAATCAATTTCGCCCGCTTCTGTTGCCATTTCAACGATTTCATCATCTGTCAGCAATCGATAGCCGTTTGCGTCCTCATCACAAATTAACCATTCGTTTATGTCATCTTTAGGCAAAGAAAACAAAGCAGTTTATTCAGCCATAACTTCATTTGTTACCGCATCAAGCTCGGCTGTCGCGGGGGCATTTTCAACTTGAGTTGATTCAGGCCATAATTTATTCCACGTTCTTTGCAACATTACTTCCGAAACATCAGCCCAAGCATCCACAGCATTGTCGATTGCGTATTTTAAATTGTATGCTTTCCAGTATTCTGGCAAAGAATATTCCTTTTCCATAACTAGGTTTTGAATAAATTTTTTTTCTGTATCTTCTTTTGAATGTTTCAATGACCGATTGATCTATTGGCTGTATCAATGATGTTGAATTCGCAGGCAGAAAAGAGTACGTGATATTTCCATCGTCACTTCGCAGCCTACCGGCTTCAGGATGAGCAGGTCCATTGTCCAAAATGAGAATCGCTTTTGGTGGCAAATTTTTTGCTTGCAAGTATTGTCGAATACATACCTTTTGAACCAGTCAGCGAATATTCCTTGGGAATCCTTGCATTATATTGTGCGTAGTAGTAAACGAAAACCGCGTTCATATTTATGCCCTTGAAACAGCATGTTTTTTTTTGCTGTAGATACCAATCAATAATAAAGGAAGGCGATGGTCACCACTTGCATTTGAACACATCATTGCTGTGATTCGTTGCTTTTGCGTTTTAAATCCGGGTGCATATTTTTCAGACAGTGCAGCGAGTGTTTTCGTTGGCAATGCTTTATAAACCATATTCATCGATCATAGCTTAAAACTTTCTTTTATACTGGTCATTGACTTCAATGTTTTACTCGGCCATCCAACGATTCCATTTTTGAAGCATAAGTTTCAGTTCCTTTAGCATTTTTCTTTAAATCATTGCTTGTTGTTCTCGAAACATCATACTTTTTGCTTAATGGGACAATAAAAAAACCTTTCTTTAATTCTGCAATAATTTCTATTTTTTTCAATTGGCAAAATAACACGTTTGCTTTTTGATGCTCCACATGTGGAAGGCTCCATTTTTAAAAACTTAATTGATCAAACGACTAAGTGACACAATCAATGTTCGAATTTGAATCAAACTGAATTATGGTGACACACAGATATTGACTGTAATAATTATTTTGCTGTACGTGCATTTATCATTACCTATTTAAATGAAAATTCAGAACCCTGAATAAGAACAAAAATTATTTACATAAAAAAATGCCATAGTGGAAAACTGTGCATGTACATTTTAACGAATTTCGTTTGGTTTGGCTTATCACAATGCTCAAACAAAACGAATTGATGACTAAATTTTTACTTATGTAGTCAATATAACTTATATATGGACCCTGACGGTTAACAGAGGTGACGGTTAATAGAGAGACGGATAATCGAGGTTTCACTGTATTAATGTTTATATTTTGAGAACAATTTCCGAAGTGGAGATTGAAATGTCAATAAATTTTAACCTTTAATTGTGGCTTATTTCCATTAAAATAGTAATAACTTTAAAATGCCACACACAAGAAAATAGCTTCAGAACAATATTAAGAAACCGTTATGGGCCCAGTGTCATTCAAAATTTTCGGAGATTGGAAATTCTTTAGGAAAAACTGGCATATTGTCAAAATTCAATCAAATTTATAGAGATAGTAACATAATACCAAAGGGCTTGAAGTTACGTCCAGCATATTCAAGCAGAAGGTTGGAAAAAATTCTACACAGAGCCAGTTTATCGATAATCTAAGAAAGGTTGCAATTTCATAGATCCAATTTATTATTTTTTGAACAAGATATTGTAAGTATTGAAGATCTGCTTTTCCACCAGTCTTTTACCGACTGAAAGGTTGTGTATTAATCACCAATATACGAAGGGAAATGTTCTTCATTTCGTCTTACCAGCAGGTGTGTCTGAGAAGCTAAAAACAGCCAAATGCGTATCATAGAATGGCAGGATTCACAAGATGTGAATATTCCTATTGTCGGTCACAATTTGGAGCAGAAAAACAAAAGAAGCTTGCTACTTTAGCCTCTATTGAAAAAGTTCATCTTTAATTAGTTAAATAGTTAGATGAACTAATGAATGATGAATTCATGTACCAAACGTCTTTAATAAAGAATGAAGTAGCTAGATCTTTTTGGTTTTCTTCTCCAAACAGTAACCGACAACCCTCCCACAAGTATCAGTATGAAATACATTTTGTATTTACGTATGTACCTCTGAAGATGTAGGAAATACAGAAATAATGTTATAATAGTCTATTGATATCAATTCATACACCCAAATTTTGAAGAATTAACAGTAACTTTTTGTACTACCTTTCAAGGTTAATAAACCTTGTATTTTTCCCTACTTTTTATGAAGAGTAAGTAGGAACACTAACACAAATGTTCTTTTTAGCCTACTGAAGGAGTCAATCAAGGGTCAAGGGAAGAGTTCCTTATTTTGATTTTTTTTTATTTATTTAAAGGAAAAGAGTTAAGTTATTCCCTATTGGATTCATACCTGATCCCCAAGGTTAATCTTCGTCACTCTTAGCTGTTAAGAGGTCCATATCTCTACCCAACTATTCCTGGACAAGTTCAGGAAACCAGTCGGAATACTTTCAATTTGTCTTATAGTTTTATTTGTCAATATTAATAATTTTCTATAATTTGTTACTTTAAATCATAATATTTCTTCTAATAATAAAGACCAGTCATTTTTTTTAAATAATTCAATAATAGGTTTTAAGTTCTCGCTATTAACTCTATTGTACGGTTGTAAAAGAAAGAACCAAGAACGCCAACTTTTCGAAACCATCAAGAAAAGAAAAACGGCGTAAAATTGAAGGCAAGTGAGGAATGGGACGCAAGAAAATGTCCTGGGTCCGAAACATAAGGCAATGGACAGGGATTAACGACATACAATCTCTGATACATATTGCAAGGAATAGAGAATTAATGGAAAATGTGATTGCTAACATCCATTAGTGGATTTGCATCTGAAGAAGAAGAAGACGTACGGTTGTATGTATACACATTTAATCATATAGTTCTTTATTGGTATTTTCTTTAATATATATTTAAACCTTTGGCATCTATCTCCTAAGATAGAGTGTCCATTTTACTTTATTATTAATTTTAATTGAAAGCCGAAGTGCAGAATTATATAAATTTTTTACTTATATTTTAATATTTGTAAATTCAGATAATCAAAGATCAATTGTGTATAACCAGGGGAATTTGTCTTAGTATATAAGTAACTAGGTTAACTGTACATAAATGGTGATGGGTAGCATAAAGAATCAGACTGTATATACAGGCGAAGCATTAAATTTATTGTGAAGATAAATTATTTTAATTAATACCTGTTTTCCTTTTCATTTCAGCAAAAAAAAAAGCTACACAGCTTTACAAGATACCATGGAAGGTATATGTTAATACTTTCCTGGCACCCAATCACATCTTAGAGCAACTTCCACAGTTTATCACCTTCATTTACATTATTCATATATATTTTTTTGATTACTTTGTCATTCATTTTCTCATTTTACGGTCTCTAAAAGGTATGCAAATTGACCGAATCTTCTTTTGAGTGTCAAGCAGTTACTCTTCGGCACAGTCTGCTAGCCAGCCTTAAATTCAATTTGTTTTTTGTTACATAAGGACATTAAAATAGGTGGCGCTTTTTGCAGCTTACCACTCGAGAAGTTAGAAATAGCAGGATATAAAAGGATAACACTACTAGGATGACACTACTTACTGTTAGCAGTAAATCCTCATCTTCTTCCTGATAGAAACGCCACATAGTTAAAAAAAAGCATGTTTGCACGAACTAAACTCTGTTGCAAGTTTGTCGCCGTGGTGTGGACTGTTTGCCTCAATGTTTTTGCCTCTCAAATTCAACTGATTATGTGCATGGGCAAATATACAAGATATTGTG